TGCGCCAGTGGCTGACATGTGCGCCAGTGGCTGACATGTGCGCCAGTGGCTGACACATGTGTTACATTGTCGTGAACAGACAGCGGTAACGGTAGGAAATACCTCGGATATGCATAAATGATTACACATCGATTATTGGTTTCGGCCGCAAGTTACTTTAAAGTGAAGTTCTTGTTATTAACTAAAAGGATGGCACATGAATGGTCGTAGTTCCGAGAATGTGGATGCAGTGTTCACAATGTGGTCAAACTCTGCAACCAAACAGCTTACTGTAGATTATTTTCAAGAGGCTTATTAAAGTTATAATCTATATACTTAGAAAAAGGAGATATGACATTAGTATAAAAAAGTGAGCGGCCGTGTTTATGAAATCATATTAACATTTGATTTGCGAGATAGCAGCGATGTGATAATGATATAGTAAATAGTAGAGAAGTGGGAGTCGAGTGGAGTGGAGTGGAGTGGAGCGGAGTGGCGGCTGCAAGGCGTCACTTGTACATTGTGGCCGCTAACTTTTGTAGTCAAATAGCGAATGAGTCGAAATTAATCGTTAATTCGAAATCGATTTTAATTAACTTAGTACGAAAATTGTATCCTCGTATAGGTTAGGTTCAAATTAATATTATAAAGATATGTAGAAAATGATCATATAAAGAGATTTAGCGTCGGCGGACTTGTATTTTTGCATCGGAAGAGGAGGAGAGCGGGGAGCGCCGGGTGGAACTCCTCGGTTCCTTCATTGCTTCAACATCATTTTAATTGTTCGTAAATCATCTTCTTAGTTATCGTAATACTTGTGTTATAACGAATAACAAAGATATCGATTACCGTGAGCCAATTCTGAGTTTGATACACTCATATATCAAAATAATATACAATTATATAGCTGGAGTTAGATCGATGAGAATTATCACCGGATATACTTTGTTTACACTATTTATTTTATCTCCGAATATAAATGCTTGAAACATGTAATAGCTAGTAGGTAGTGCGGTGCGGTGCGGTGCGGTGCGGTGCGGTGCGGTACCGTGCGGTGCGGTGCGGTACCGTGCGGTGCGGTGCGGTACTGCATGTGGGCGTGCGGCGCCGCATCGTGCGCAAGTGTGAGCTAGTCCACTGAGAACGTTATATGTAAAGTATCGCAGCGAGCTCGTCTCTGCGGAACTCGGCACTTTGTAAATGTCGCGATCTAACAGTTCATATTTAATACTTAGACGTAACAAAGAAAGTCGTCGTAGTGTTCAGTTCTGACATCGAGAATGCTTTAGTTATTTAGAATTTGTATGAATGTGTATAACAGAAGTATATTTAAAAGTATTTAATTGTAACCGTTATATTAATTATTATAATATATATAGTGAGGCTTCCTCTGAAAGCTTTATGGATATGGTTATGTAAGTATACGGAAACTGAACATACTCACTATCACGTAAGGTTGACATCAGTACCGCGCTCCTCTACAAACTGTTGCACTCCAATAGTGCGCGCGTCCGGCGACACCTCGCGACACCTCGCGACACCTCGCACCTCACACTTTATACCTTTTTATATATTTATCGATCTAATTAAATACTCCACATAGCTCGTTGTACGACACGAGCCAGATAAAAACTAAAAATTATACCTTTGGTAAACTTTAAAAATTGTAAATATTGCGTGGTCAAAATCTCATGAAGTTCTCAACGCGACCGCCTCGTTCCGGCCCGCGCCTTGCGCCCGGTAGTCAATTATGTAAGGTTATTTTAAAATGATGTTTAGAACAAAACATATATTGTGCATTTATGTCAACATCATAAATAACAAAAAAAAAGAAGTTTCGCTTCGACATATAATGTTTGTGAGTGTGGAGTGGTGCTAGCCGGGGTCAGGTGGCAGTATGGCGGCCACGCGCCGCTGGGACTATTTTATTTAACGCTCGTCACGGTTCGGTTTGTGCCATCGGTGCCAAATGCGAGGTGCCAAGCTGACACATCGTTTTTATTTATTGTTCGTTTGTTTGTTTGTTTGTATGTCCGCACACGTCGCGACATCTTCCAGCAGACCGTCCTTGTTTAGCTTCGTCGTAGCCTCGCCTTTCCTCAGATTATATGAAGGCTTGCTCTCGTCCACTTATCTTTATGTTAGTTTTAATTTGTTATACATCATCCGTAGTCATTATATTAATTAACCGGCTCATGCATGGCTTCATATGTTTACTATTATTTCTGAGTGAGTCGCGGCGCGTTGTCTCTGCGGACACTGCAGATACAGCTCGAGATGGCGTTCGTCATTTAGTTGGCGAATTGATCTGCTCCGTTGTATCGTGCAACAGTTTAATGTGACCACAGCCTCGAACCTAACCATAGTGTAAATTGCTTTTATCACAGAAAAGTGAGTATTAAATTGTGACACGATGCAATGGTCGGCGACACCATGCGGAGTGTCGGGTGTCAGCCGCGACCACGTGCCCGGTTAGTGGGGGAGGAGTGGGGGGGGGCGCTGTATTTAGTGTAGTGTAAACGAAAGACTGGCTAATGTAACGAGTAAGGTACGACGTGTGTCAGAGCGCGCTGCTGCTGTGTGCTGCTGCGTGCTGCTGCGTGCTGCATGTCACCTCGCTGTGTGCAGCAGCAGCGCGCCGCGACACTTTGAGGAAGACGGTCTCACGGCCCGTCCCACACCGCGTCTCCGATCTCATGTTTTACATGAAGAAAACGCGGAAACAAATTGATAGGAAACGGTATGAGAGCGTCGTGGTGGCGGAGATGGGCCGCGGGACGGGTCGGAGACAGGATTGTAGCTAGGAAAGTGGCATACCCTTTTGTAAATAATCGCTTCTAGTATAAAAATATATAAACTATTATTATATAACGTACGATAGCGTTCGTGTACCTTCCCTCTGCAGAGACGGTCGTAGCCTCGATTAGTTTGTTATTGTACGTGCAGTGCTTTATTATTATTTGTTTCATTCTAAACCGTCGTCTGTATCCCGACTTCATAGTTACCCACGCTTCGATACACTTCCTGCCTTTTTTTCTTCAACGATTTTTTTGATCATTTTGTTTTTTAAAAAAGCTTATAGTTAAAAGTTGTTTTTAATATGATACACAATGTACCTTTCACATTACCGTTCTTAAATAACCACATCCCGACGTGTCGAAACAGCGCTAATTATGTCAAAGGAAAATAGTATTGACCACCTCATAATATTAGTTGTCAAACGCGTGTCAGATCGCGCAACCAGTGTCAGCCGGTCGTTCGCGATACGTCACTCCGCCGCGAGTTATGTGCAGTCCTCGAGACTTGTGTCTGCAACAACACGCCGACTGACTGACCGACTGACTGACTGACTGACTGACTGACTGACTGACTGACAGACGGCGGGCGGCCGCTGTATGTCACGTCACTACATATCTGTTGCACAATCTGTGCATAGCTTACTGCATTCTGCTATCCAGTGTAGCGCGGCGCAGCACAGCGCAGTCGATGTCGGTCGGACGTGTGGCTCGCTCGTGTCTATCGAAGCGTGTGTCTCTGTGCACTTCTCGGCCCGTTGTTGTCTTTTCCCGCACCGTTTTCACTAATTCTGTACATTTATTTTATCTCGTGTAATCGCATCACAATAATCTGAGACTTCTCGTTTTGTTTAATAGTATATAATAATGTTGTAATCATGACCGTACTGTAACATTCATAATGGACACATTGAATGCGGGGACACACATGTTGTATATAATGGACGTTCTGAATTTTTATTTTTGTATAATCCAAAGAGGAATGTGTTCATTTATGAAAGAAAAATACATTTTTTGTTTATTTCAATTTATACGATAATTGAGATTGTAACATAATTATTTATTGGTCCAGAGTTGCATTTCCACTGAAAGTTTATGTTCCCGGAGGCCGGCGGGGCCCGCGCCCGGCGCACTCTGCCCGCCTGCCCTCCTGCCCTCCTGCCCGCCTGCCCGCCTGCCCGCCTGCCCGCACGGCGCGCCGGGTCGGCCAGGCGGGCAGGAGGGCAGAGTGCGCCGGGCGCGGGAGACACCGGCCCATGTTATTATGCTCAAATGTCGTGTAACCGTTTCAAACGATCGATCGATCGAGTGATGTTTGCATACTATTCTTAAATGAAAATGTCAATAAAATGGTATTTTAAAAGGCACAGTTGGTTTTAATGGCCCCATTACATCAAATAATTTTTAAAATGATGGTACAGTCAGCGTCATATAGATCGTAACAGACAAGATATGCAAATATATAGGTACATCAAAAGTAATCAATTATATCGGTACAACAAAAGTCCTCAAAATAATAGATACATTCACCCTGCTCAAATACATCGGTACATACACAGCGTCAAATATATGAGTACATGCAAGATGCTCATAAATATCGTAGCAGCCACAGCGTCATAAGTAACGAAGCAGTCAAGGTGCGCAAAAATATCGGTACATTTGACAAAATTGAACTCTATCTCTATATACTTGTGATACAATTTGGAATAAACTACTTCTGTTACATTCATTTGACACTTTGCATCAAATCATTTTTCAAAATTTACTAAAAGTGTTCGACGCGGATGACAGATATTATGTAGATAAAACCAACATCAAATTTAAGTTTGTCATCATATATGCTAGTTTGCTCTCGTGGCCTTACCGTTCGCCGCCGTTGGTACGTAAGGTCGGCGGTTCAAATCCCAAGCCAATATATTTTTTTTTGATATTTAAACTTTTGAATTTTAATATCGAAGCACATGTAGTTAAACTCTATCGCCGTAGTTATTAGGTACTTTTTGATATTGCCTTGGACTAATGAGTTTGACCGTTAAATTACTTTTCTATTTCAAACAAAAATGAAGGAGATAAAGCGATGCTATTGGCATGTAATTTGTTTATTACTCATGTTTGTTAAACTTGTACCGGTAAAAATAACACTTTTACTTTTACCTTTTACTGATACTGATTATATTTAAGAAACAAAGAAAAAAAACTGAATGTCAATATCCAAACTAGATCAAATTTTTGGTCGATTGCAATAAACATTCCAGTGTGCGTGGGCGCGCACACATATGTAGATAACACTTGTACGTATAGTTTCCGCGCGTACCATTCTTAAAACCCGCAAAGACAATCCACGCTCCGCCCACTCACTTCACCCGCGATGGTCTGACCTAATTGTTGTTAACTTTATTTAAATTTCTTTCTACCCGACAGCGAAAATTATAAAAAAAAATTGTCGAGCAAAATTTTACATTACCAAATTTTTACTGGTTATGAAAAAATAACCCCGTGATTGATAAAATGAAAAAAAAGTAGCCTGAGATTCGAACCGGTAAACTTACATATTACGGCAAACATACTAGAATACTGCGCCAAACTTGTATTATTTATATTGTGACAAGGCAAAATTTGATATTAGTTAATACGTATCTGTCATATTCGTCGTGACAAACTTTTATATTTAAGCGTTATGACAGGAGAAGAAAAATATTGGGTTGCCCAGTAAGTTCGTGCCGCTTTATAAGGAAAATGGAAAACCCTGTTCTCTTAAATTTTTGGAAATGTTTTTAAATTATATTGGTACGACTCTATACCTAAAACGTCTTTTATTTTTGGCTAAAATTTTAAAAATTAGTTTTTATCTCAACCAATGAAATGAAATTATTCACAATATAGAAATTTTTGTGACGTTTGATAATGGTGGAAATCCGAAAATGAATCCACTTCAGCTACAGTCTATTGTAAGCTTTATATCGAAAATCAGAACGAACTTTCCGGACAACCTATAATGTTAATACAAAGTGTCAAATGAATGTAACAGAAGTAGTTTATTCCAAATTGTATCACAAGTATATAGAGATAGAGTTCAATTTTGTCAAATGTACCGATATTTTTGCGCACCTTGACTGCTTCGTTACTTATGACGCTGTGGCTGCTACGATATTTATGAGCATCTTGCATGAAAAAAAAAATGAAAAAATAATTTATTAAAATCCAAGAACATAATTTCACATTAAAAAGTTAAGCTAAGTAATTTAATGGATACAAAAAAGGTGGGTATTACAAGTGTTTACCAGTATCCTCGCACTAGGCGCAGCCTGTGTCGCGAGGATCCTGCTCTTAAGATTTATCAGAGGTTCGTTAGACGGCAACAAATTAAGTAAAATACAAATAATCAAGTGCCATTTGTTTTAGAAAAGAAGCTAAATCAAAGTTACACATGCCAAACATTAGTGATAAACTTAACATATTATTTTAAGAATGTCTCATGCAAGCATGTACTCATATATTTGACGCTGTGTATGTACCGATGTATTTGAGCAGGGTGAATGTATCTATTATTTTGAGGACTTTTGTTGTACCGATATAATTGATGACTTTTGGTGTACCTATATATTTGCATATCTTGTCTGTGACGATCTATATGACGCTGACTGTACAAACACTCTTGGGGTGCATGATGCGCCCGGTCTTCATAAATATTGTAACATACTTGCACTTTAGAATTATCTGTTAGAAATAAATGGATTACATCAATTGTTTAAGTACTGTCATCACAAAAGTGAGAAAAGAAACAAATAGTTGTTTAATTAACTTTATTTGTATATACACTAGAGACATATACGCTATACGCTCGGCTCCGCTCCGCGACGCGCGCTTCGTGTTCTACAAGGAACACTACTCGTACTTCGTAATACAACGAGCTAATAATTTGACAAGTCGCTGACCGCTGAGCGACACGGCCGACACGACCGCACACCTCGTGTCTACCACCTCACACCTCGTGTCTACCACCTCACACCTCGTGTCGACCACCTCACACCTCGTGTCGACCACCTCACACCTCGTGTCGACCACCTCACACCTCGTGTCGACCACCTCACACCTCGTGTCGACCACCTCACACTATTTATACACATAAATACATCACATTTACAAATCACTTATTCAATACAACAATAGCAGTAGTAGCATTACAGGATTTACCTAATGACATCATTATTTTCTAAATCTATCTTATCTATGAACGCTGCGGCCACATCTTTATCTATTTAATTTAAAGCAATCGTTGTGACATGCAGTGACCGATGACGAGTTATATATTTAGATGTTTATACACGAGAGAGATATTAAATATTCACAATAAATAAAATAAATGAGTAATGTATATTTTACTTATACTTATGCTTTGCACAGCAACAAACACAATGACCAACTTCTGTACACATCACAGTGACACCGAAATATTCTAAACTACAGAAGTAAACGGTGGTAAATACATACACTTTATTTGTAAATTACACAAATATCTATCTATCACTACATCCTACGTTTATATAATAACTATGCAAATATAAATCATTATTTGGTACACTTAATGTTGACTAAATATAGACCTACTCCATACAGTACTCTTAAAAAGTGCAGAACGAAATAAACAGCGTTGCTCTGCGTTCACGTTGATAATAAAAAAATATCTTAGTACAAAATAAACGATCGATTGTAAAAATGACTGTAAAGAAGAAAAAAAAAACAAAAATATAATTAAGTATGTATATGTGATGTGAAAGTTATTTCGAAATACAAATATATTTTTAGAAATCATTATTGTTTGCATAACACAGCGTAGATTACAAAATAACATCGTACGCTGTATCAATATTATAAAAAAATAGAAACTGTTGTTTTGTGAAATGATGAACTGACACACAACTATAAAACAAGATAAAAATGTATGTGTACGTTAAACAAAACATTTATCCTCGTAAAATATAACTTTACCGAAACACCAAGCATTAAAAATATTGGTCCTCGATATGTACAGTAATTATTACACATGACAAAATCAACCAGCCGTTGTTAGCATCGCGAATTGCTGACTGCAAAGTCGACGAGAGGGATAGAGAGAGAGGGAGGCTAACTGACCGGCTTGGAGTCGATCTCCTCCTTCTCCTCCTGCTCGGGCACGTAGTAGTGCAGCTCGTAGGCGGGCGAGAGCTCCACCGTGACGTTGTCGCAGGCGGGGTCGTAGGGCTCGCGGCGCGCGTACCCCGCCCGCGCCTTCACCGGACTGTACAGGCCCTTAAGGAAGGCGCGCGACGCGGCCGCCGCCTCGCCGGTGCCCGCCGCGGTCGCGTGCATCACCGTGTTGTTGTACAGCACGGGGAAGTTGGCGCGGTAGCGAGCGTCGTTGTGGTTGAAGTTGTCCACGAATCGCTGCAGGACGTCCTTCCGGAACTTCGCGTCGTAGTCCTCGTTGAAGTTTGCGTTAGGTCTGTCTCTCTCCTGTGCCAGCAGGTCGCTGATGGTGACGCCTCTGACGGGCGCCGGCGGCGGCGTGTACGTCATCAAGCCCGCGTCTCTTTCGTAGTCGTAATCCTTGGCGGCCTGCTCTATGAAATCTTTGTAATTCTTCATCACGTAGGACGCCCTGTGGAAGCCTTCCGTATGCTCGTAGGCCCTGGATCTAGTCCCTTGCTCGGTAGGTATCCTCGGGGGCTCGGTGTGGAGAAGATATCTAGTATAGTCCTGTGCGTTGTACGCGTTCGGAGTCTCGCTCGGTGTCATAGTGTTGACAAGAGGAGGATGACCATGGTGTTGCTCCTCATGATATCTTGAGCTGTATTTACCTAACGGAGTATCCGGGGCATTGGTCAGCGTAAACGACGTAACTTCTTTCGGAGATGATAGTTTTGTATGTGATTTAGTTTTGACTTTGACGTCATTATCGAATCTATTCGGTTTCGGCTGCTGAGTATTAATTCGCGGAGGGAAGTATTGTATTGTTGCCTTTCTTTCGGGCATAGATTGTGTCTCCGGTTTCGTTAATCGATACGGTAATGGTGGAGGTGTAACAAAAGGTCTCTGTGTCAGGTAAGTGGGGACGGAGTATTTTTTTAATTCTAACTTTGCCATCTGTAAATACTCCGATTCGTCCTCATTTGAAATATCATAGTAATCAAAAACATTAAAATTTTTCCGTTCTTTGTCAGTCACGGAAGAATTGTACTTTCCTTTTTTGGCCACTATCTCTTTTGTCCTATTAAGAAGTTTACTGGAAACTTTTATTTGTGTTGTGGTCGCCGGGGAAGTATTATTACCGCTTATTTTGGAGTGAGTAGTGTCGGGTACGGCTGCGGCGGCTGTGGTCGCGGACGTCGTCGATGTCGATGTGGTCGGCGTCGTAGTCAGAGTCAAGGTAGACAACTCTTTTACTGTTTCTGTCAGTACATTTAGGATGGTCGTATCTTCTAAAATACTTTCTACTGTATTAGTGATGTCAATGTTGCGGGTGTTGGTCACTTCCTCAGAACTATTGGTTTCCTCGTAGTCACTGTAAATTACGTTGCCGAAGAAATCTGTCTTCTTCTTTTTGGTCTTGCGCCTTTGAGCTATTTTCTCCAATCTTTCTCTTAGGTCCGGAACATCACTTTTGTTATCTCTACTTAGTAAGTTACTCCATTCGGTCTCTGTCTTATTTTTCAAGACTTGAGTGAAAGGTTTCGAAGAATTTTTTGGTTTGAAAACTATCCCTAGCGAACTAATGCTCTCATTTCTCCAGCTGTTGTCATCCGGGTCTCTAACAAATTGTTTCGGTGGTTGGATTTCAAGTTTCTTCATGGGCTTGTAGTTCGGGCTCACTGTATACACAATTGTGCTTTTACCTTTATCTTGAGAAGGCTTCGTATTAATGATTTCTTCGGTGTTTGTTTGTACGGTTCCTTCCAAATCTTGTGTTGACGTAAAAAAACCGAATTGTTCCAGAAATGAAAACGTGGTATCAGTATCATTTATGCGCCCGTCGCGATTTTGTTGAGCCATTTCCTCGTTATTTTTAAGCGACGTTTCTTGAAGCATTTCTTCTTTAATCGCGTCTTCATCCTGCAATGATAAAAATTATTATAAATATAATATCAATATTTTAAAGCCTAATATGTCATTAAAGATTTACTTACTAAATAACTCTGCGATTTAGACACTCCAGCGACGTTGCGACCGGTGAATGTCTCAAAATTATTTTCAATTGCTATTGTCGTGTGATCTCTGTACGCACTCTCGGTCGTAATATTTTCAATCGTCGATTCGTTTTGTTTAGATTTCGATGAATAATTTAAAAATCCAGCTCTTTTTGATGACACCGATTCGAACTTAGGTTTTTGTATTGATACTTCGAAGGAGTTTGTTATATTTTCTATTTCTTGTGTTACAAGTATATCTGGATAGCTGGTAGTACCGGACACTACATCCAGCCGCGGCATCGGTGTCGTCACCGTCGGGTACTCCGTCGCCACTCTCCTTAAAACTTCTTCAGATGTAGCCGAAGTCAGAGTAACCAGAGATTCTGCTTTATTTTCATATTTGTCAGTCGGAGCGGTTGTCTCATTTTTTGAAATTTTCATTATTCTATCTATAACTGTGTATTTTCTTCGTGAAGTAAAATTAGTAGTGATATCATCGTAATCGCTACTGTTAACGATGGGTAATAGAGATATATTTTTTTCTGCTAAGGTGTTTACATTCTGTGCATATTTTAATGCAAGCTGGTCCTTCGCAGCTATTTGTTCAACTGTGTCGTTTAGTGCAGTACTTAAGTCGTCAAAGGTGTCATTAAGAGCTCTGACATTAATATTTTCAACGGATAGTGACATGGAGTTGTCCGTGTCGGCCGGCTGTTGTGTCGATCCAGACAACTCGAGGTAATTACGAGTAGTATAGTTCTCCGTGATGGTTACCACTTCGGACACGATCGTAGCTTTGGTTGTATTAGTATATAAATATAATGTGGAGTTTTCTTTCAACACACTTCTTTCAGAAATATTATTTTTTGCAGTCATGTTATTGCTTACTGTTTCCGCGATGACATCGGGATTGTACTTTATCGTGGTAGTCATCTCAATGAATGCCGTCGCCGAGGCATTGCTACTATGCGGTAAGTCGGTAGTGGATGCGGGAACCTCATTATTTTTATTAGAAGTATTTGCTTTTAAGTTATAAGGTGTTTTGAAGTCATGTCTGACCTCGAGCTGCAGACTCTCGTCTACAGCGAGGTCTAGTGCGGGAGTCCTCGTTGTATTGAAGGAGCTCCTGATGGCGAACGCGCTCACTTCTGTGTAAACTACAGCTAATAGAAGCACGACGCTCAGCGCAAAACATCTGAAATCGGAATATGCATTTATTTCACTCACATATTTTACAAATTAAAACCCCAGAATTATCAGATTCCTTACATTCTACCAGCAGTAACATTTGATAGAATTAAATTCAAAGAGATTTATTAAATCAGTTACACGTTCAAATCATTCCTAGTTTCTGTTTCTGTTCTCTTCATTCTGCCGCCGTTTAAATATGTAGCATATTCGAAAACCTAAACTGTTGCTGAGTCGCTGGGGAGGTCGCGAAGTTGCAGAATAACGGTAGGATATTATCAAACATGTTCCCGGCGCAGGCGCAGCAACACGCCTGGTTGATAGCTCACATTGTGCCCCGTGTTTACATAATACGTCTAGTGTGCCGCTCTGCCCACTCTTCGTACGTATGTCTCTGTACGCACCAAAAATCATCGCACACATTATTTTGCTTAAGTTTCATTTATAAAATTAACACACAATTAACTAGTGCCTATTTTACTATAATCTTATTTAAATGCCTATTTAAAAATAATTACGACACATATTATAATACTAATTACTACGAAGGTAAATTAAATTAACTTAAATGGATTTTTTGCATAAAGCAGCAATTATCGGCAAAAGTTTTTAGAGTCTTAATATTTAGTAGACAATATGCCACTATGAAATAAAGGCGTTAACTTATGTTACATTTTTTTATTCAGTGAAACAAATGGCATTTAAGAGGATAAAGTTTTAAAAATATTGGCCGTCACTTCAGTAATGTGAATGCGACAGTGCTCATAAAAACAATATGAGGATACAATAACTTAAGCCCCGTGGAAAATTATAATTGCTACGGCCATATATGGGGAAAATGTATTAAGTATAAGAATAACACAAGAGTATGGGATGGGAGATATTGGAACGCGATAGAATGAACAGTGCTGGAATTCCACTTTATAATTACTATAATATCCTCTGTTCAGAATAACATTAGGTTAGGTGAAACTCGCCTTTTGTATCGAGAATCAACTAAATAAGTACTAGGTGTGTTGTGATGGTTACGCCGACTTATACATCTTATTACTTCTCATAGGTACTCATAAAATAAATATCGTAGACATTTCTACTGACTTAGCCCTAAAAACAACTAGACTCAAGTTCGGTGGAGTCGTAGTTGAGGTGACGTTAATACGCTACAAATGTGTACGGCTCACATAGCGTACATATGTGTTACTAACTAACAAGCGTATCTTTTGTTTACACTCGTACGATGACACTCGGCCGATGCAGATTCGTATTTACAGTATTGTTTTGGTTGCATCATCTTTCAGCAAGTCTTCAATATGTTCAATGTCGGAATATATAATATCGAAGTAATGATGTAAAGCACAAGAAATAGAATACTATGTTATAAACTTAAGACCGGAATGCCTGAGTAAATTTGTTCAACATGCAACGACTGTAACATTTTAACTTTCAGTAAAATATAATATTAGAACCAATTATATTGATTTTCCAAGATTAAAATGCAATCTGGTTCAGTGCGGCAATGAACTTTCTACCACATGTTACATTTATTTGTGAAAATTCGAGTCGCTTTAGAAACGCTACCGCAACGGAACTTTATCTATACTCAGCGGGCGAGCACGCAAACTGAGCCAAAAGAAACTACGAGCACCTGTCGGTTATTATATAGATACATCCAATTTTATTTATTTAACTACAAGGAGAAGTAATGCGGATATTGCCCAATTGCGAGTTGCTGCCACCAATTGTAATGAACTATGGATTTGCTGATTCGTTCGCTTGTAGAACAAGCTGGTGTTATTATAGTGATCAAGTGTAACACATATGTACGTATCTGTTATGTTGCACAACATATAGCGGTGCATCACTACGATAGACAGGTACACTGTTGTTACAACATAAGAAAATAGCAATTTTGTATTATTACATTAAGTCGATTTATTTTGTAATCAAAGGGGCAAGCAGGCACAGCGGGTGTTATCAAATCCAAGCCCTTACTGGACAGATAAGTTTTCTGACTATGTTGTTTTGTCCTCGTTGTGCTCGAGTGTCAAAGGGGTAACAAAATGCTACTTCGAAGGTGCGCCTCTAAGTTGTGGTTCAACTTTAAAATGTTTACAGATATCGTGTAGAGAAGAAACGGTGGTAAGCATAAATTAACTCATAACAGTTTACTAACTATATAATTAATATAGAAACAACTATTGCATAATCCGTATTTCCCTAAATTAGCAAAAATTACGTACGCACCGGATCGCCGCTCAGCCGCGTTTCCGAATTCATTAAATAATAAATTATTCTCACAAGCAAGTATTTAATATTCAAACCTATAAAGAATATCTTTGTTGGCAAAATAGCTAAATGACCGCTGGCCACAGCTCTCTGTGACAAACTTAGGTTACAGATGCGTTGTTTCCTTTTGATGCACAGAATAAACAGGAAAAAGAAAATTCCTCACATCCGTAAACATGGTATGTTCTAAAAAACCTATATTGGTAATCATTGGAGAGAGAATTTTCGTTAGCTGTATGTGATAGACGCACTGTTCTTCATAAGCCCAGTGGCATACTAAGGTATTCCTTACACATTGATACTGTGTAACAATTACCCCAAATTCGAGGAATAATAGTCACTATTTGGGTTACTACAATGCATAGTATAAAAGCATTAGTCAGCCTGCCGCATGTCAGAATGCAGCAACAACGAGACTTTAGTTCACCAATACATATGTAGGTACATATCATAATATCATTTGTTATTGGACAGCTACAGCGTTATGTAAACTTACACATTGCTTTAGTCAAAATAATTTTAATGTTATTTGAAACAATCAAAACATCTATCATATTGAAAGGGCTATTTATTTTCACCTTATACAAAAGAATGGATTTATTTTTTAATTGGTGAAGTTACAAAAGGGTCAAAAATAATCAAATGCTATTCGATCATGGAAAAACGCGGTTTCCCGCCATTTGAAACGCATTCGCATGTTAATGTTAACTTGATTTCGTATTCATAACAAATAAAATTTGTGTCATATTAAAGATATTTTTGGTCAAAACACAATACGTTGTAGCAATCACATACCTTTACAGAACAAGCGAAATGGTTAGCTTTTTTGGGAAATGCGCTTTCTGATGGGTTGGTTTGAAGTTATTTACAAAAATAATCGAATATTTTTTTTTATTATTATTAATTATTTGCAGCTCAAACCCTTTTTCTTGTAAACCGGTCGTCTAAGTTTATTTTTATACTTTTATTATTGCATTTTCTCTAGTTTCCTTGTTTGTGAAAACAGATAATAGATTGATTTCCGACACTATTATTGTTCAAAATAAATTTACATGGGACATTTAGTACTCAACAGAAGTTAGACCTTGGTACTGGAAAATAGTTCAAAACTTCTGTAGCGGCGACATCGCCACATTAAGCTTAATATACAAATTTATATAAAAGACTCGGATGTTGTTTCATGTCAATAACGAACATAATGATTAAATTGTAGAAAGCAATAAACACGTTTGTTTGTAAATACGAAGTTGAATAATGTATGACAAATGCCGATATGCAACTTTTTGTACGAGTACAATACGCGTGCAACACTCGACATCGTCGGGTCGAGTTTTTTAGTACAATTGTCGCACCTCAGTTGTGTCCATCAATATTCATATTGAGACGATCTTGAACCTGGGAGCACACCTGACGGAGGCGACCGGAGCTACTGGGTGGCAGCCGCCGCCGGCGCGTCGCCGCACGCAGGGTCTACGGGTCGCCGCGATTGCTAACGCTATGTAACACTATGTTAATGCATTTTTTTGCAGCGAGCACATCGACCAAGCGTAAATTTCTTGCATTTTCGTATTGTTCTAATTTAATTCGAGAATTTTGCAAACGGCACATGCATAAATCGATCGTGATATTAATGCGCTTAACCGACTTTCCCCACGTGCGTTTTGTTACATACCACATAATTATTTAAATCAGCCAATAAAATATCCGGCGCTAATCTAAAACGTTATACGAAACGACTAATAACAATAAATCAGATTTTAGAAATTTTCAAACTTTCCGTTTTAGAAAACATCAGCGAGGGTTTACTTTTCAAAAAAGCGCGGCAATCGGTTTCCGATGAAGACATTCGTAATGTTTAATTGACTAATTGCAGGGACGACATCGGCCGCCGCTTTCCGCACTGATTGGTTCGCATACCTGAGACTGCAGCGCGGTGACATGTTGGTGAGCGTGTGAGCGTGCATCACGGACGCCGCATGGCCGGACACTGACGCGCGCGCGCCGCGGTTGCCTCTCGATCACTGGCCGCTGGTCGCTGCTGGCCACCGCTGCCGCCACCGCTGCCGCCGCCGCTACCGCCGCCGTCGATAGACGTCGGTGTCGCAGTCGGTGGTCCTCGACTCTCGACCACTCTATCCTTAGGCGTATGCTACCTGTAGGAGGCAGACAAGCCCCGCCACTTGGACCGAATATGACCTGCGTGATCAGCAACAATTAAAAATAAATTCATTGGAATCGTTGTACCGTTCATTATTATTATCATCCTTTTCCGATACAATATCGAATCCACACTACAATAATTTATGGAAGAAAAGTAAACTCGTCAGGGTGTTACTTATTATGAATAAACTATAAAAACTTATAGCGTTCGGAATTACAGTTCAGTTCTCGCTAGACTATTTAGAAAGGTAAGATGATGCCACTCTAAAAAACTACTCTGAAGTACTAAGGTGCCTGCAATCGTTATAGATTCAAATAGATAACTCAATAACAACTTGACAGAAAAAAGTACTAGCTCCCCTTGATCATCGGCCAGCGACGCCCTTGATTCTTGGAGCTCTTTAAATTCATATAATATAATCCCACAATTAAATCATACCAACAAGTTTATTCTACGTAAAATAACAAATATAGACGAAGTCTCGGGAGTCATAAGTTACATATTCATGATTTTATTATTGGTACTTCATGAATTTAAATTGCTTGTTTCGATGTTGCATAGACCTACTTTCCACACGAGCATACTTGGATCGACACAATTGTTTAAGCTCTTCGTCCTTGTATATAGTCACGCTTCATAAATATATTTCACTGAGCATAACTTCCGAAAACAACTCGATGATATTGTGCCTCACATTCGGATTTAAATTTCCAATCAAATACGAGGGTTGGAGACTGCTAATTAATATCGCAATTGTCCATTAATAACCTAACCTAGATAGAATTTTACAGATTCTCGGCTGTTCTAAAGTAAACAATGAAAAAATAAACTGTTTTTGTATAAAAAAATGTTAATTGTCTTTTGAAGGTGGCGCTGAAGAGGTGATTTATTTGCTAATGACATCTGGTGGACAAGAAGTTAATTAAATCTTCAAATCTTTTGCCAGCAATTTTAATCTGCCCATGCTTTTGGTTCAAATTATATAACATAGGTTCGTACTTTCAAACAAATGAAATAACCTACGGCGCTAAAAAAATAGTTTTCAAAAGATCATTTGTAAAGTTGCCACCATTAATATTTTATGTCTTAGCTTAAGTCAATTCTGTGTGCAAGTACTCTTTGTCTTGAGATAGTGTCAGTCAGTGTTGCCAATGCTACGGCAATTGCCGTGTAATACGGATTTCTACTCAAAAATATTAGAAAATCTACAGACTATGGCTACAACCCTAAGGTCGTGGCAGAATCTACGACTTTCGAAAATTGAAAGTAACTAGTTTGTTAATTTTGTTTTAGAAATCCACTTTTAAAGCTTTAGGAGTATGAATAAAATTCCGTAATAACTTTAAAACGAACAATAATTGAAATTTCATTGATTAATAATGAAATTTATCTAAAATTTAAAACGGCCCATCGCTGATCGTCCAGGCATACGGCCGGGTAAAAATTTTCATTGGCAACATTGATGTCAGTTGAAGTTCAAAAGTTTGAATAGATTAAAATATTTAAGTTGCCCAGAGTGCGTTTGTTATTTAAAGTATTTAAGTTTTGATTATTAATATAAAGTATAAGAAGCATAATATTACGATGGCTGAGTTTCAAACACCAGTTAAAGTTAAATCAAATAAAATCCCTGAGGGAAGTGATAAAATATCTATTCCTCCTTCGCCGTTTTTAAATCGTCTGGGATACGGAACAGGTAAAAGTGAAATTTTGAGAACAATGTACGTCGTTCGTATAATTTTTTATTGTTACATCTATCCATTTCCAGGTGTATCCGTTATGCAGCTCGTTAGGTCCCCTAAAGCAGGGCAAATACGTTCACCTTGGGCTCTAAAAATGCTTAACAAACGAGTTAAACCAAACAAGGTGTACACGGAAAGGTTGCAAGCAGAGGCGGAGCTGTTACAACGCATGTCTCACCCCAATATCGTCGGCTTCCGAGCTTTTGGAACAACCAAAATTTTGTATTTAGGAATGGAAGCATGTGACCTCTCACTGGGAGATATGATTGAGAAGAAAGTTGAAAATGACTGTGAACCTTTCGCTCCGAAGTGTATTTTAAAAGTAAGATGTCAATCCACTAGAAAATGGCTTTATGAACCTGATGACAATCAGTAGATATTTTCTTTAATACTAACAATATGTTATACAATTTACTTCAGGTAGCGGCTGATATTGGCAATGCACTAGACTACCTACACACAAAGATGCAGATACTGCACGGGGACATGAAGTCTTACAACATATTAGTAAATGGAGATTTTGTAATTTGCAAGCTCTGTGACTTTGGTGTGACTCTACCGCTCGATGAGAATGGTGTACTAGACAAACAGAAAAAGAAATATGCTATATACTTTGGTAATGAGAAATTTAAGTTTTAAATTTAGTTCTTCAAAGTTTCTTGAATAATTTATATTTGTGTAATGATTTAGGAACAGAAGCATGGAGTGCCCCCGAGGTAATCCACGGAGGCACAATCAGCAGCGCCACAGACATGTGGCCACTGGGGCTGGTGTTCTGGGAGATGCTGGCGCTCATGCCTCCACACACTCAAATGGATGACACATTTGATGAGAGTGTTGACAGTTTGCAAGATGATTCCATGCTGGATCATTTCACTGAGAGATATGGTAAATATTTTAGCATATTCTTACAAAGTAACAATAAGGTCATATGACATTCAGATATCTTTATATATAGTAGAGATAGGACAATAATGTTCCAACAATGCTGACACATTTAGGTACTCGGCCGGTGGTGCCGGGTGGCATATGTCCGGTGCGGTACGAGCAGCCGCTGGTGCTGTTCTGCAGCTGCACGCAGGAGGCGCCCAGCGCGCGCCCCTCCGCACGCCGCCTGGCTGACGCGGCACATCTTGCATGGCACACTGATGCAGTGTGACAGATATCAGTTATGACATGTGACATACATTTATATGACCAGAGGATCACTGAATTACCTTGCGAGAGATAATAACAGGTGCCTTTCATTTACTTTTAATACAGATTCTATTTTATTGTGTTCAATTTCTGTGTCACAAAGTATGACATTAATTGTGAAATGTAAATTTGGAACGGGTGAGGTTTAATAAGAATATAAGTTTTTAAAACAATTATATTTAAGTAACATAAATAAAAATTCAACAAGAGTTACACATGGGCTAAGTTACAAGCTTGTGTAGTTATATAGTGAGACTCACGTGTGTACGGTCAGCAGTTGTCTTACAGCAAAGTGTTATGTACAGCTTCCAATTACATTATATATCTTATGTAATACTTGATGCCACGTACATGTACATTTCAATATGTATTTATGTACATACAAAAGGAAATGGATTTCAATGACTCATGTACTAATATTTAATTTTGAATTCAATTTTCTTTCCCTATGCTTTATCTGCAATCAGTATATAGGACTTTAAGCAGATGTGAAGAAAGAGTAATTGAATTCAAAATAAATGATTCTACATAAAATGACTTTTATTATACAACCTTATTTAAAAATAATTCCAGGAACCTAAGTTAAACTTATGTCTACTGAAAATTAACAGAATATATCTGATGTTTAGGAATTCAGTCAGAATGAAAAGTTATAATTTGTTTACATACAGTAAAAAGGTGATTTGTATAGATAGAGTTATGTACGTGAGGTAAGTGTAAGGCAATGCTTCTATAAGCTTCAGTAAAGTTGTACAAGTTCCATACAAAATAGTCTATACTATACTGAAGTCAGAGTAACTCAGTACACTCTATTTACAAAGGTTTATTAAAATTGTTGTGATTTCTACAGTATTGTCAAAATATAAATACTTTTCATTGTTATTATTCGCGATATGTTCTGGAGTTTGTGTCGTTGTTGCTTTATAATATATATAGATATCATTCATGTTGTTTTTGTAATATGTACTGTTCATTTATTGTATTTGGTCATTTTTTATGACTCGTACAAAATACATGATACGAAACATTTCTATTATTTTTACATAGTTACAAACATATTTGGGTAAAAATAAAAAAAAGTTAAACCGTCAATAATTTCAGAGTGCCTCGCACCAATGTTTGTGAGAACGTTTTAGTTACGTCATCCACAAACTTTGTATTAAAGTTTGTGCACACACACTGCCGGCCCGCACTGCACACACACACTGCCGGCCCGCACTGCACACACACACTGCCGGCCCGCACTGCACACACACACTGCCGGCCCGCACTGCACACACACACTGCCGGCCCGCAGTGCACACACACTCTGCTCATTTGTGTGGATGATTCTCCTCATTTACTGCATTGAATATAACATCAGTTTGTGTGCAGTGTGCGGGACACAGACACCGCAGCGGGGCACTTCTGTACTTATAATTCGCTCCGCTCTCATTTATTTATACTTTCTACAAATGTCCTTTCCAACTCTTGTCTCCAAAACTATACAGAGATACATCTCCAGTTATTATATTATAATAATGTAAGTTGTAGGCAGCGCATCACTACATGTTCACTTGTAGCTCGTCTGATGACAGTGCATCAATGTAGCGCAGCTAGGGCTTGCCGCGGGGCGCGGGGCCGGGCGTGGGGCGCGGCGCGGGGTGCGCGGGGCCGGGCGCGGGGCATCAGGAGGCGGCGAGGCGCTGCAGGTAGTCGACGACGTCGCGGCGGGCGGCGTGCCTGGCGGCCTGCAGCGGCGTGAGTCCGGCGGCGTTGCGCAGGGAGAGGGCGGAGGCGCGGCGGGCGGCGAGCAGACGCACGCAGGCGAGCTGCCCGAACATGGCGGCGCCGTGCAGCGCGCTCTGACCGTTGGGCAGCAGCCCGAGGTCGGGCGAGTGCTTCAGCAGCTCCACCACCACGGCCGCGTGCCCCTTGTGCGCCGCCTTGAACAGCGGCGTGGCGCCGTCCTGTCTGGTGGAGTCGACGCGTGCGCCGTGCGCGAGCAGGACGCGGGCGACGCGCTGGTGGCCGCACTGCGCCGCTATCCAGAGCGGCGTGGCGCGGTCAGCTCGCGCCGCGTCCACCGCCGCGCCGGCCCGCAGCAGACGCGCGCACACCTCCTCGTGCCCGTTCTGCGCCGCTATGAACAGCGGCGTCGCGCCGTCCTGGAGACGCACAAATCGTAACGTTAGTAAAGCGTCGCCGAGCGATACGATCGCAGCGTCCGCTCATATTCATAGTACAGGAGGTCTCGCACCTTCATGCAGGAGTTGACGTCGGCGCCGCGCTGCAGCAGCTCCTCGACGACGGGCAGATGGCCGCACTGGCACGCCACGAACAGCGGAGTGCCGCCGTCCTGTGACACGCGACACATATTACATTACTACGAGCACATATTAGAATGTCATTATAAGTGATGTATAGCAGAGGACGTACAGTGCTGGGCGCGTCGATGTCTGCGCCGGCATGGAGCAGCAGACGCGCGATGTCGAGGAAGCCGCCCTGCGCCGCGAAGAACAGCGCGCTCGTGCCCGTCTGATGAACACGACATAACATCACGTGTATTACAACTCATCGCCGATAACAAACTTCTAAATCTTAACGTTTAAATACAACAAACACATCTCTTAGGTAGAAGTATACTTGGAAAGACCAGTAATATGTGTGTTGGCGGTGTGAGGGATGTGGGGATGGCGTACCGTCCTGCAGCAGGCGGGGTCCGCGCCCTGTGCCAGCAGCTCCTCCACGCAGTCCGCGTGCCCCATGGCCGCCGACAGGATCAGCGGCGTCGTGCCGTCCTGTAACCACAACATAACCACATAATTACTTTACTATTCACACACCGGGCTATAAGAATGCAAAGGGAAGCCATGTACCGCTAATTGATAATGATCTTTATAGATTTTTTATAAAAGGTAAGACTTATTGGTGTTTCGCAACGCTCTAATTAAGTTTGATGCAGCTCGCGTGCGGATTCCGCGGCCACATTGCATTCCTCCCATGTTTCTAGTTGGATGCACGATCTGTTGGAGCGGAACTAACTCGTGTACTGTAAAAACGGCATATGTTTTAATTTTAACAATGAATTCGCAAAAATAAATTCAAGTTGGAGATGTTAACTATATTTACAGAAAATAAATAATGAAGCCGACAAAAGTGTCACGATCTACAATGGACACAACATAAGAAAACTTGTGATGTCTTAGAAAAACAACGGAGATTATGCAACAACGGTCATTGCGTAGGTCGAGGGTGGGGGGAGGAGGTTTGCGGGGCAACAACGTAACGATAAACAATAACCGGCCCTGACAACCTTCATCGTGTGCCGCGAGCAACAAATTGAAGCGGGTAAATAATAGTTTCCATTGCCTAAGTCGACAAAAATGTATTGTTATTTATCTATAATATTCTTTTAAAAAAAAACTATTTTAGATCCATTTCTGTTATGTAAGGTTTCTTCCTTAGTCTTTTTTTAGAAATTTCAACAAGACAAGGCTTTTCTGTTTACGTTTATACCTTGCTCCGCGCGACGACTAGTGTACGTATAAAGAATAGAAATTGTCAGAAAGTAGAGCGCTCGCTTTATTTTAGTACAACAAAAACGAGCGATTGTTTACAGTCGACCATTGAGTACAAGCCGCACTGCAATGGCTCTGATCAAGAGACGCAATATCATCCCCATATATGAGTTTTTTATCTATATTCTATACCCTAGTCAAAAATAATATATCCCATATTTAAATGATATACTGGTAATACAACATAGAGTTCAGATTCGCTTGCAGATCGAAACAAATCTATTTCACGAGTCTATGAACATTGTGGAGTCGCAATGTACTAACAGAAGGAATTTTCGAGGGTTCGCGGAGACGTTAAGAGGGCAGCACTATGTATACAGTACACAGAAGGGGAAACAGCCAGTGCCTTTGCGACGTCGTTTTATGCAATAACCTGCAGTCGTGACGATGTATTGATTTAGTTAAAGTAAAGGCAACAAGATAACGCAGTTGCAGTGAGCTCGCTACAATATTAATCTCAAGTAAACAGGAGCATTGCAAAGATAACGCGTAAATGTTTTAGCCCGCCTTCGCTCTTTTATGGAAACGAAAGCCATGCCCATTGCCGAACAGTTTGGATTTCGCGCCAAACATTCATGCACTCATCAAGTGCACCGCATCACGGAGTACATTCTTTCCAAACGCCAACGCGGCCTTAACACCGGAGCTCTCTTTCTCGACGTAGCAAAAGCGTTCGATAAAGTATGGCACAACGGGCTCATATACAAGTTATATGAGTACGGAGTACCCGACCGTCTCGTATGCATAATACGAGATTTCCTAAGTGATCGCACGTTCCGCTACCGCGTCGAGGAAATATGTTCTCAATCGCACCCCGTTCGAGCCGGGGTGCCTCAAGGGTCGGTGTTAGGGCCGGTCCTATTTACGCTCTACACCAACGATATACCGCGCGTACATGGTGTAGAACTAGCATTATTTGCCG